TTAAATGACCCTAAAGGATTTGACATGCTGGTCATACAGAGTATGTCTTCTCCTCCTCTCCCACACGCCTTGTGGCTGGGGGAGGGGAGCCGCGTTCTGTTGGAGTAATAGGCACAGAGCCTGCATTTGTGGTTCAAAGCCCTTCAGTCCATTTTTGGACTTCTTTGCAGAAGAGTAAAATGCAAATGAAGTTTAGAAAAAAGTAAAAGGTATCCACACATGTGTCCCCGCGGCCTGAGTTCCCCAGGCAGAATAAGCAGGACTTTGGTTCGTAGTGCAAGGGTTCCTGCAGGAATCACGCTGGCCTGTCCTTTCAATTTCCTTCCAAGGCAGCCTGTGACTTCTTTATATCTGAAACAGAGTACTAAGCTGCCTCCAATTCTGCAGCTTTTGTAAGAAGCGGGGGCTTGTCGTTTTTTAAAAGGGTGTTTTGTTCTAATGTGGGGGGAGGGGGCAGAGACACCAGTGGGTTTCTACAACCACTTCACAGATTGGTAAGCTAGGGCCCGAAGAAATGAGCTAACAATGAAATTGACTGAGCTGCCAAGCTCTGAATGAAAGCTCTCTGCCAGCCCAGACTTCATCCAGTCTCAGGCCTGGCGTCTGCCCCTCTGACACCCCCAGATGCTTTCTGGAGCCCATCCCTTCAGCGGGGACCCATCTTCCACCTCCGTGCTGTAAGCCTTCCTGCTTCTAAGATTCTCCTTTCAGCAGCCCTGTCCCGTGCGGACACTGATTACTCCTGGCACCCAGTGCGGCCGTTCAGGGTGATCTCAGGGAAGTGTGGCCAGCCGGCTGCCCTGGCCTGCAGTGAGTTTCGGTGTCTGTGGAGCCCAGACTGCCTCCCAGCACGCTGACAAAGGAGGCCAAGGTGCCGGGCAGAGCCTGGAGTCAATTAAAGGCTGTGACTTGGGAAAAGCCCGCCTTGCATCTCCTTTTTTAATCTGGTCTCTTTATCTTCTGATATAATAGACGCTTTTCTTTTGCCCTCTGTCAGCGTAGAATTTTTTGAAGGTGACTGATGTCTCAAGTCAATAATTATGTGTGGCAAAATTTCTCAAGCTGCAGTTTAGATGCCTCTAACTTCAAGGCAAAAGCTCGAAGTTTCACAGTCCTTTCCCGGAGGGCGGGGTTTGGGGCCTTGGACAGAGGGGGCTGGGAAGTCCTGGGCACACCAAGAGCCTGCTAGCTTTGCCTTCCCTTCCCGCGAGTCCTTCCATACTGAGCTGGAGGGTGGGTGCTCCCACCTTCAGCTGTTTTCACATCCTTGTTTAGTGTGGTCCCTGAGCAGCAGGCAGCTCAGATTCATTGCCACCAAACTCTAAGCTTTAGTTGTTATACTTGACAGTCTCTCAATTATGACTGCAGCTCCTTTGACAGAGGCTGACAGATTCATATTCTGCAAGACCTTATTCTGGGCCCGGCACTGAGCCAGCTCAGCAACGCAGTTTGTATTTATCAGGCACAGACTGTGCTGGGGCACAATTGCACACAGAGCAGTAGGGACTCTCACTATCCTAGAACTCACCATTTAGTTGGGAACATCAGGCAGCTGCATCCAGGAAGTGCCAGGTTGGAGGAGGCATGGGGCCTTGGGGGCAGGGGCAAAGGACTTTGCATTCAGGCCAGGAACAAAAGGAGGGCTTTAGCTGGGCAAGGTGGCACATACCTGTATTCAAGCACTCTGAGAGGCTGAAGCAGGACAATCCAGGCGGAACGAGAGTTTGAGCCCAGCCTGGGCAACTTAAAAACTTAGTGAGCCTCTGCCTTAAAGTAAATGTTTTAAAAAGTGTTTTTTGTTTTTAAATAGGGAAAAGGTGAGAAAGTAGCTTAGTGTAAAGGCTCTAGGTTCGATCTCCGTTACCAAAGAAAAGGGGGGAGGGGGAGGGCCTCTGGAGGAGGAGCTACTGCGTCCCCTGAAGGGTTTGTCAGCCAGAGCCTCACGGGAGAGCACTGTCAGAGCCCCGGAGCTGGGAAGTTGGAAGAGGCTGCAGAGAGAACTGGACTGTGACTTTGGCTCAGAAAGAGTGGGGAGCTACGGGCGGGGTTGGGGGGCTCCGCTGCTCCGCTAACTTTTGTCGTAAGAGGCTCACCTGGCCACACTGGGAACACTGGGTTGGAAGTGGGGGTTTAAAATAGTTTTGCCTTAATAACAAGGGATAGAAGAAGGTCTGGGTGGGTGGGGAAGGTGGTGTCACTGTCCCCCGGCAGAGAGGGCGTGACAGACCCACTGGTGTGTGAGTCTCGCATGGGTTTCACATCACTTCCTCTCTCCCCTCAGTTACCTGCTGCCTTGGCTCAGACCCCAAACACTTGTGTCCTGGGTGTAACTTCTTTTGCTCCAGCAGTCCACCTCACTGTGGCTTAGGATAGACTTTTATCTCCCTCCATCCTTTCTCTGGCTTTACTCTCCAAAAATAATATTCCTGGGTCCGCACAGGCTGCCACATGTCCTTGGCTGTAGCTGAATTTGGAAAGGGTTCGTGCGGAAGAATTCTGACAGGCTGGCTTACAATACCCATTTATTTTTGTAGTCTCCTGCTTTCCAGTAACCCCCCACCCACACCACCACCACACACACACACACGACCACCATCACTTAGAACAGGAGTCTGGTCCAATAACAAATCAGGCAAAATGAGGGGTTAGCCCCACTAGGAAACATGCTAGGAAGTGAAGCTCCAGCCCCTGAAAGAGCAGCTGAATTCACCCGTGGTGAAGAACTGTGTCCTGGGTGCCAGAGGAGGAGTTGTGGCCAGGGCAGACGCGCTGGAGTGGGAGACTCCGATGACCGATGGTCCAGTGATCGCGAGCTCCCCACTGTTGCAGATGCTAGAATCTGGGACAGGTTTTCCACCTCTGCACCCACCTCTCCACCAGAATGTCTTCCCCTGGACATAAATTCATGTGCTTATTCTGGAAAGCCACAGGGACCATCACTGATGTGTTTGGATGCTGTTTTCAAAATCAGGGTAACACCGAATCATTGCGTGGTGGTCCTTCAGAGAACAGCGTGACTCCGACAAAAAGACTAAGAATTTGAGTAAGGCTGAAAATCACATTCTAACTACTGTTTATTGAGATATTACTTTGTGTCCTTAGGCTCCTTAGTACACGATCTCATGAAATCTGCATCCACACAGAGAGAATTGGGCTGAAGAGTTGATGTTGCTTGCCTTGTGCACTTAATTAGCAAGAGGCAAAGTTGACATCCAAGTTGGACACATACGACTGTAGATAGCATCTTCTCAGCCAGCTTGCCTCGCCGCCATTGCTTGCTGGGTGACCTGCTTCCTGTGGGCCTTGCTTTCTCTCATCATTGAAATTATGTAGACTGAAATTCAAAGAAAATCATATAAGGCGCTCCACAATGTAAAAGAGAAGATTCAGGGGTGTTCAGGGTGACCTGGAGGGTATGTGAGAGTCGGGCGCAAGCCAAGAGAGAGTCGAACTCTCTGCTCAGCCTTCTCCCCCAGAAAAGGAGCACATACCGTCTAACATTGTTGGCTTCATCCTGCCCTCTCTACAGGGTCTCAGAGGTAGAAAGTGCCTCTGCTTCTCCTGTCCAGCCCTCTCACCTCACTAACGTCTCTCAGTTTTGTTGCAACCCCTCTACTCTGTTTCCTTTGCCTTCTCTGACCTGTGGTAGCAGAGCCACAGGGAGTAGGCTCAGGACTGGGTTGGGAGTGTGGCTCCTCAATGCTCAGGACCATGAGGTTTAAATGTTAAAATACACAGGATGAGCTTGTGCTCGACAAATGGTAACCCCCAAGATAATGAATGGGAATACTGTCATCTTTTAAGATGTAGAAAGGAGATGGAGCCTTTGAAGAATCCGAGCCCTGGTTAGAATCCTGTCATGATCTATTTCTGACCAGGCTCCAGAATCGCCCGAATAGCATGAGCTCCTATTGGACTGGGTCTGTGTTGCCACAGGCCTCTCCCGCAGCCTGTGCACTCCTCTCTGGGATAACCCTGCCAGCCATGATTGGCCAGCCAAGGAATCCCCCCCACCCTCGCCAGTTAGGGAAGCTTAACTTCCATTAAATGGGGGCTTATCCTGAGGTCCTTTTAGTACTGACTTTGTCCTTGCATTGTAGCCACTCCTGTGGGCTGGAAAAATGTTTTCTGACTCAGGCACCAGGACTCTGCGAGCCCAAGGGAAGGAGGGTTTTAGGAGCTCTTTCCTCCCGTGTTTTAGGCCCTGATTCAACAGAGACCCTGTAATTCTCTGTTGCTGCTGTAATCTTAGCATGTTCCATTGAGGCAAACTCCTATAAGTTTGTTATGTTTTGAAATAAATGTAAAAATGAACTAGCTCGCCGAGGACACTGCACAAGTAAGATAGGAACAGTACCACATTTACATCCTTGAGATGGCTGAGAGCTCACCAGGGCCCCATGCATAGGCTGGATTTGATCCTGACTGTATCACAGAACCCCTGTGTGTCTTTGGACAATTGTCAGGACCTGCTAGGTCCTCAGTGTCCGTGCCTCTCCGTTGAGAATGAAAAGAGCACAGAATGTTCTTAAAAGGGACTTGGAGAAAATTGAGTGAGGCAAACACATTTAAACAGTCTCAGTAATTACACTTGATGTCTGGCTTGTGCTTAATTAATATTGTATTATACAATTGTGGTGCCATTGGATAAAAAGGTCTGCTTGTTTATTTATGTGAGGGCATGGATGGGCTGTACTAGGTTTTGTGCCCCATGCTTAGGACATAATAGGATCCCTTGATAAGAGGGGAATAATCTGTGTTGGTTACCAGGTCCAAAGTGAAAGGCCTGTAAAGCTGGAAGGGCCCTGGTGCAGGCCTTAAAAAGTTGAGCAAGGTAAGGCAGGTCACTCGTGTGAACACCTGGGACAAGACTGCTGCTCCAGTCACGACGAGAAGCCGGCCCTGTGTTTTTCCCATCCGTGTGGCGATAGTCGTGGTCAGTTACTTTGAAATGGCCCTTGTTATCTTGACGCCATGTAGGAGATCTGGAAGTCCCAGGGGAGGGGTGATGCGGCTCAAACAGATCTTGTGCAACCCTCGAGTCTTAGCAGGAAGCTGCCCTGAATCTGGACTGTCGGAACGGAGAGTCAGAGATACATGTCTGCATTTTATTCGCCCAGTCTTCTTATAGGCATAATGACTGTGAAATTTCCAAGAAACAAGAGAGGCGCCCTCTCTATAGGTTTGCCTTGTGCCTAAAAACTCTTCAAATATGTGGAAGCTTGAAAGAAAGAAGAGAATCGTGTCCTATCACCACCAGGTAGCCCAGGGGAAGACACATCATGCAGGAAAGGCAGCCAGGCTGGGGAACCCATATCTGTCATGGAGCTGGAATTCTCAGCCTGGCTGAGCTCTCCCATCAGCAGGTTGAAACTGAGGGGAATTACCTCCTTTTCTGGTGAGATCATGAGCATCTGTGATGTCTGCATGTGGTTAAACACCAGGTCACCCTTTCTCGTCTTTTTAAAGGAACCGGGAATCTCTGGGGACCTCTCTGTGCTCAGACATTCTGTGAGCGGGAAGTCAAGATTCGTTAATATGGCACCAAGGATGTCCACGCACGTCAGGGGCAGAGAGTGGGCTGAGCAAACATTCAGGGAGCAAGGGAGGGGCAGCTTGCTATGGGGAGGGATTGCCTTCTCTTCTCTGCAAGTGATTCCCAATTACTTCTTCCCAAGATGGGAAACTTGTGCTTGCTTTGATGAGGGTTCCCACTTGTGACTTGAAGGTTATGTCAGTTCATTCCAGATCGTATCGGTAACCGATGGGAATCTTGCCTTTTAGAGAATTACTAGCCTTGAAGACATCCTAGCTGGCAAGTTCAGCCCAAGGAGTAGCAGGCCACAGCCCCCAGAGTGGATTATATACTTAATAATTAAGTCTTTCCTCCTGGTCCTCCCATGGCTCTCTCCTCCCTCAGCCTGTGCCTCTCTAGGGAAGCAAAAATCTAACCATCAAAGGAATGCAGGAGCAAAGAGACTTGGAAAAAGGCAGAGAGAGGATCGGATCGACTTAGAAATGCAACATAATGAGGTTCCCTGAGCAGACTTCAAAAGGTCAGTCGGGCTCTGGAGCCCCATGTGATGACCTCACAATCAAACTATTCCTTCCTAGCGCTGTTAGAATTTAAATTGTGCTCGCGTGTATGTGTGTGTGTGTGCACGGAAAGGTGCTCTGGTGGGCGAAAAGCCCACCCCCACCTCAACTGCTGCCTGCAGTAATTGGGCTTTGTAACTCTTAACACTTGGATTTGATTTTCCAGGGAAGAGGAGCCAAGTTCCTGTGCATGGGTGCTCCCTTTCCAGCCATCCCTTCCTTCTGATTTCCTGGCTCTTGAGGCCCCAGCCTAATGCAGGGAGACAGTGTGGCTTTTGATGCTAGGAATCTTGGAACCGTTTGCTTCTCCACTGCAAAGTGGGTTCTTTCAGGAAGACTTTTGTAGGCTCCAAGTACAGGAAGATGAGCGGAGGGAGCGAGGGGGCTGTTCTTCCCGCAGATCGCTCGGGAAGTGTCCGTGCTGCTTTCCAGGCCCAGAGCGCTAGGGGCTGGTCACTGGAGCAGGCACACGTAAGATGCTTCGAGCCATAGCAGGGGCCACAGCCAGATCCAGCTTGCCACCTAGTTTTGTTTTACGGGATGAAATCACACCCATTCATTTACTTGTTGTCTGTGGCTGCTTTTGTGCCACAATTGCAGAAGTGAGTGGTTGTCACAGAGACCATAAGACCCACAAAGGCCTTCCACTCCCTTGCTGACCCCGTGGCCCCCAGCATGGTTTTCATAAACCCCTAAGTTGCTTATTTCCCAGAGTAAGGCATCCCTGGATTTGGGTCAAATAAGATGGTGGAGGCTGCTCAGTGCTTTAGTTGCAAGCAAGCCACACTCCTTTTTTTATTCATTAACTTGAGCAGTACCTGGTGTGAGGAAACGCTGTTAATGTCATCATCATCATCATCTCCTTAGTCTCTTAATCTAACAAATTTGGTTACTTACTTGGTTACAACTACCACAAAGAAGGTGACCCTGCCAGAAAGCCAGTGACCTTTAAAACAAGAATCATCCTTTGGTCTCATAGTGCAGTGATCTAACTTTACAGAGGAGGAAACTGAGGTCCAGGGGAGGCCAAAATCTTGTTCCAGGTCAAATGTTAAGAGCAGTGTTGGGACCAGAACTTAGGATGCGTCTGCTAGGGCACTCGTTTCTCCTGTGCCCCGTCAGCCACTGGCCTTGGCACCCCTGGAGAGCAATAGCTGGCTGTGTGACTCAGCAGTTTCAGCCTCTGAAGACCACGTCCCTCGTTTGTTCTGAAGTGCAGCTGATTGTGGTGATTATTCACGTAAATTGCACCTGTCACTGCTGTATAATGCCAGACCGGGGTAATGTGAGCTGCTTGAAAGAGGAACCTCTTTTTTTTCAGGGTGATTATAAATTAGATATGAATGTAAGCTTAAGGGCCTGGCAGACATTCTCCCAGGGAATTCTTTATCTTGCATATATTTGCCGAGTAACCTTTGCAAAGGTTAGGCTGCTCTCGGAATCGAAACACAGCTTTGAAGTTTAGGAATTCTAAGGCATTCGGGGAATACAGTATAACAATCCCAATTCTGTGTCCTCTGTGACTTTCTGTATACCCCCATGACTTAGTATTCAGGGAGTCAGAACAGGCTGTGCTCCAGAGTAACCCAGCAGCCTCACTGGAGAACTGACTCATATTCATAGCAATATGCAAGGATATCTGGGGTTCAGCACGTGGGTTAACTAGAGTTTCCCCCACCTTTCAGCAATTAAATATTTGTGACTAATACAGTGTGGCAGATGAGAGAAAAAAAAAGCATCCAAAGGTATCATTTAAGGGTGGACGTGCACTGATAGTGAGATAGGACTCTTCCGGTCTGGCCCAAGCACTCCCACCTCCTGGTAGATCTCAGCGTGTGGGCACAAATGGTGTCTGTCAACTTCAAAGACCAGCTCTGGCTTCCGCTTCATAGGACTCCCTTACCAGGGCCCAGCTTTGGACTTGGCCTCTCTGAGATTCGCTTTTCTCATCTCCCGAGGGAGCAGGTCTCAGCCAGGAGCGGTGTTATCCCCACTCCACTCCCAGGGGTGATCGGCAAGGTCTGCAGACATTTTTGGCCACCCCTGTAGGATGCTCCTGGTATCTATGTGGCCAGATACTAAGGATGTTGCAAACCAGCCTGTGATTCACAGAACACCATTGGGCGTGGTGGCACGTGCCTATAATCCCAGCACATGGGGGCAGGGCCCTGAGGCAGGAGGCCAACTGGGATATATAATGAATTCAAGGCCAGCCCGACATAGCGAGACCCTGTCTCACACAAACAAAAAATCGCCAAATAGCCCCCCAAAACAAAGAGTTAACTAACCAAGGATTCTTGTGCCAAAAAGTCAGAAGTTCTGAAGTTGAGAACCGTGCCTCACAGAAAGGAACGAGGCTTGTTTTGTGATGGGTCTGTATCACACACAATACCAAACCTACACTTAATGGAAACTCAAGAAATACGTGTGGGACAAACAAATGTATGACCGTGTGAATGGTTGAATATTATCCCTCTCTGGTAAGAGTACTCATTTTTTTCCAATTACTCTATCTGTGCACAGCTGTAAAACAATGCCCAGCACGTAGTAGGCATCCAGTTAATAGTAGCGTACAATAATGCTGGTAACATTTACCTGAATTTGTTTCATGCTCGTTTTAAATAAGAATTCATTTGTTTTCATCCTTTGCCAAGATAATAGGCAGTCTGTGCAGGCAAGAAGCCCAGTGGAGCTTTTACAAATATTGGTTTACAAAGAATCTGTTTCATCCTCTGTTTTTCAGATAGGTAAGCCAAGGGCCACTTGTTTGTGCCTCCATTTCCGCTCCCTATGGCAGACTTCTCTTAGGCAGGGTTTTGTTTCTCTAAAATTACTGTTTCATTGCTTGCTGCTCTGATGGAACCTATTGGTTCGTATGAATGCATTTTTTTTTTTATCTGGGACCCTTTCCTTCTGGTTTTCCTTTCCAATCTGGCACTGTGTTTTGCTTCATCCTGTTTAATATCACTGTTGCCTGTGAAGCTTTCTCGTGTGCACCGGACCTCCAAACCCTCCTAGTGAGCCTGCAGGTGTGCTACCACCTCCACTTGATGGATAAGGAAACTGAAATTTAGGAAATTAAATGCCCGTGAATCACTAACTTCTGGCTCCACCTTATTACCCCTTCTAGGATTTGAGAACTGGAAGATATTTAGGGTCAGAGTTCAGAAAATAGGAGGTGACATTTGTCAAAAGCCACCCAGGATGTGGTACTGAGGCCTCCTGATACATCCTTCCAGACTTTTCTGCCCTTGTTTTCCCGCCTGTGCCTGAGAAGCATTTTGCGACCAAGTGTCTCTTTCCTTCCTTACTTCAAGAGTCACTGAATGCCACCACACTCTGCTGTAATGGCAGAGGTAGATTCTGTGTTGGGTCTGGCCCTGCTGATTACCACTGAAAGGGTTTCAGTTCAAAGCTAAATTACTGTGAAATTAAGTTTCTCTTATCAGAAGTAGAGATAATAAGCATTGCCCCACGTCACAGCACGTCATGATGACCAGCTGAAATAAAGGCAACAGAAAGGGTTTGTGAACTGTATTCTGGTAAGGATCTGTCTTCTCTCCCAACCCCAGGTCCGGAACTAACAGATATTAACAGTTCTATTATGTCGGCACATGACTCCATGGTAAAAAACAATAGCCACACGGGCTGATATTTATTGAACCGTTACTCCTGTCAGACGCTTCATCAAGGGCACTGGTACGTGCACTTGCCTCGCATCCCTCAAGGCCTTGAGGAGATTTCTGGGTTTGTACTGTAGCTCATATTTGGGGCAGCTGAGGCCCAGAAAAGCACAGCTAGATCCTCAATTGGGTTTAAGTAGCTCACCACTGGCTCAAATTCAGGTGAGCCAAGAGCTCACGCATTCACATATTCATTAATTAAGAACCTCCTTGCGAGCTGCACTGTGCTAGGCCCTGAATGGACCGGTCACTACTGCCTGATCTGTGACCCCTCATTCAGGCCAGGCCTGGGGTGACCAGGGAGGGCCGCCTTCTCCTCTGTAGGAGGTGGAGGGACATGCATGCTCCTGCTGGCCCATGGGCTGTCAGCTGTGTCGGCTGGTGTCCCTAGGAAGAGGATGACATTTCTGCCTCCAGCTGGAGTAGCTGATCAGCACCAAGGGAGGGCGGGGAGGCCCTGGCGCAGAGCCACAACCACACAAGCACAGCGATTGTGTGCTGAGCCCCCTGAAGACCCTGGACCGCGGTCCAGTCCCCTTGTGTTTCCTTTGCTGTCGCCTGCCAGAACGCACTGTGTGGGACTTTTGTCCCTCCCAGCTCATCTTCAAGGGTTTCCTCGGGACAAGGTTACTTCCTGGCCTGAAGACCACATGGATTGAAACCTCTGAAAAAACCTGTTGGGGCTTTCGTAGTGCAAACACAACTGCTGCCCGTGGACAAATATTTACATTTGCTGTGAACTCTCTCACAGATGGCCACTCTTGGGAGAACCCCAATTCAGGCCCCTGAACAGAGGCTGCTCGAGCAGGTAAAGGGAGACAGAGGCCAAGGGAGATGCTCCTTGATCTCAGATAGCCTCTCCTATGTAGACCATAAGTAGTCTTGGTGCTGAGGGCCTGGGAGTTTGGGAATAATTTGGAGCAGAATAGCAAGACTCTGCCATGACTCCCGAATTAGTTTCCTAAGGGTGCTGGAAAAAATACTGTGGGCTAGATGGCTTTAAACAGCAGAGATGTATTCCCTCATGGTTCTGGAGGGCACAAGTCCAAAATCAAGGTACTGGAAGGGCCATGCTATCTTTGAAGGCACTGGAAGAGGATCCATCTTGCCTGTTCCCCTTTTGGTAGTTGCTGGTCGTCTTTGATTCTCTATCTTCTAAATAAACCACTCCGGTTTCTACCTTCATCACCATATGGCAGTCCCCTCATATTAAATCTGTGCTTACATTTTCCACTTCTTCTAAGGACATCAG